TAATAGTGATTACTGAGCAACTTCTGTGCGTTGCTCAGGCAACTTGCACAGGCAAATCTTGCATAAAAGCAGCTAACGCCTTGGAAGCATTCCCTGCACAGATCAGCAAGGGCGAATGTTGCTGTCCTTGAGTGTCGGCACCCAAACGTCATGTCCGGGAGATCCACCCAGCACTCTTGGGTGCCTTGCAAGTGTGTATATCCACCACTTCCAGGCAGTCCTGACAGCGCACGGCACAGCACCAGTGGAATTTGCACTCGCATTTTGTCATCCTGCTGACACGCGACGTGTCGTAGCCCCTGCCGCAGCACATCACTTCGCAGCTGTCCATGCCACGGGAGGTCTGGTTACAAACCCGGCCGGCTGTCCCTAGAGAGCCTACAAAGAAATGCAGTAAACACCTGTTGAAAAAGTAGTGGGTGGATTTCAAAGAATGGCAGAAAACACATGAAAAATAAGTACAGGAAACATAATTTGCAACCTACGTGATGCGCTAGCACCACATCACCTGGGATTCAATGCCAAACAAGAGAAATGGCTACAAGAACGTACACTCGGTCTCAAATTCTGGGCAGCCTGGCTTCTGAAAGTCACTTCTGGAGGTGAAAAGGAGCAAACTGGTGAAACACTTCAAGGCTATGCCCGACTCTGTTAGCACCGTGGGACCTTGCTCCATCTCTCTGTAGCCCCATTTTTCTCTCTAGTGAGCGAATACCCTCCCCGCTGCAGCCCTGCAAGCCCACCTTGCCCTCAGGGATGGGTAAAATCTGGCCCCACTGAGGAGAGCCCGGCTGCCAGCGGGGGGTGCAGAGGCTCTGCGGAGGAGCTTGGGCTGGGAAAGGGGAAGCCCCTCGCACTGCAGCCATGAGGGACAGGCCAGCAGTGGCGGTGGGACCGTGCCGCCAGTGGTATTGGCTCTGCAAGGCTGAGAGCAGAAGCGCCCAAGCGCGCAGCATCGCCGTGCTGGTTTGCAGCCCCCTCCATGCATTGGTTCAGACAGCTGGAGAGTGGCTGCTCTGTGACACCTCTAGGCTTGAGAGATTGAGTACAAGGGTTTCTTCTCCTCTTTCTACATATAGATTAGACAAATGTAATTTACAGACTGCTATGGACAGAAAGAGGGGTAGAAAAACACGTCACTGGTATTATTATTATCACATATTATTAAACTTTCTCTGGAGTGACTGAAATGGCTCTGCCCATCTCCATGTGGCACTAAATGGCTCAATTCACCTTCTTGGAGCATTTCTTGGCAAGATATTGTAGCATCTATTGTGTTATCTGGCCAGCCAGGGCACATTTAGTGGGTTGAAGTGCTTGGAAAGGCAGAGAGTGCTCTAGCGTTTGCAACGTGGGTAGGACTGCAGGTTCCCCAGGGTATGAGTTTCCCAGGGTGTATAAGAATTGGATGAACTTAAGCAGAAGGGTCACTTCAGAGCAACCGAAGTATAGCTTCCTTTCTTCTGCGTGCCTCTTGCCAACTACCAGCATAAAATCAGTGATGCTTCACTGAACATAACCTGAACACAAAACTGGAGCCTCGGAAGGCAGCAACACTGATCCCAAATCAAGGAGCATAAACCCGGACTAGCCGCATTGAAGCTCTTCTGGTATCCGCTGAGATAAGTGAGGTTAGCGCTTGCCCTATGTAATAGACTAAGCTTTCAAAATGAAACCAACAAAATCCTAATAAATCTCTCCAGGAAACCTAGACTACAGATTCTCAAGCCTACTATACTTAGACTACAGAGATTTCAGACTAATTGAGAGTCAGCAACAAAAATAAACAGAACGAGACCCTCTCTTTCCTCCTGGGCTTGTGCAGCTTTACTGTCATAGCTAGCCCTTTTACAACCTGCTGCCTTCAGGCAGGGAGGAGTTTTTCGTTTGAGATGCTTTCCTAGACACAAACTATTTTTGCAAGATTCCTGCAAAAATGATTTTTAATATCGTTTCTTTATTTTTCCAGTTTTCACTAGGAAAGGAGGTCATCCTGTTTGATCCAAATCAAAGCATCTCACTTTCTTAAATGTGGCTCCCCACTGGTACTACCTGATGGAGAAAAGTACTTCATCATATAAATTAGGACTATCCTCCCAGTTGCTGTGATCCTTCCTACTATACTACTACTACTGTACTTGCAACAAATACTGGCTTTAAATAAATTGTGCATGCCTGAATTTTTTTTTAACCGCTACTGTACCACACCTGAGTTCATCTAATACTTAGCTTAGGGAATACTTCAGCCTTTATACCACAGCTGTTGAATTTGCATAAAACAGGATATCTGTAATTAATCAAACCTTTAATTAATAAAAACCTAAGCTGCAGAGACTCTCATTGATAATTTTTTTCTGTAGTCTACTTATGGTTGTATATACTACTACTGTTGTATCAGGCCACTTCACACCACGTTAAGTATGTGTGCATTTGATGTAGTTCTGTCCCCGGCACCAGTGAGATTTCATGCCTTTTCTGGCCTAAGCCCAGACACTTGGGCAGTGGCAGATGCTGTTCCCCAACTGCTGTCCCCAGCGTACAGCTCACTTAGTCTCAGGCCCTTGAGTAAAGTCTTCTCAGACTATGTATTCATTTCACATGAATGATATGTGATTTAGGCTCTTAAACAAGGTGTGGGGAAGTTTGTTCTTGCTGCATCTAAGTCAGCACAGACTTGAGCTGATGTCCCAGGGCAGCGTTTCCACCCCTAGGCGGCATCACCGTCATCTCTCCCACAGTCCCTACTCCAGTTTATTTAAGTATTCATTGGGCCAGAAATAGAAATCTATAGCTCACTGGTTCAGCTAAACACTTGGAAACCTTCAGCTCCAAGTCCTTGCTGCTGTGGCTGATCGGGCGCTGCAGAGGAGACACCAGGCTGCAGAGACACGTGCCCATTCCCGCCGTCCTGCAAGGACTGAGCCATGGCACGTGCTGTCACTGTGGTGTGTGCTGGCTTCTCTTTTGGGTCCACTTTGTTTAAACAGCCATTCCCTAGCTTCAGAGCATGTCCCAGCTCGTGTTTACACACCCTGTACCAGGTGCCTGCTGGCTCAGGGGTCTTCCCTTCCCTTCCATGAGGGCGCCCACTCTCCGCAGCAGCACCAGTCTTGCATAATGTTGTATTTCTCCAAAGAGGAACCGCTTCAGCCCAGGCTAGCTCTCAGCAGGCTGCCCTCGACGGGCCTCAGACACGGCAGGAGCGGGGCTTTTGCTGGCCTCCTGCGCCCGCCTGCACCGGTGCATGCCGAGAGCCGCTCGACCGGCTTCTCCCAGGGGCCCCCTGCCACGCCGCCGTGGGGC